TTCTTCCGTCCGTGATTCATCCTAATTCTGATGTTTGACTGACCATCATCTGAATCTTGTTTATTTTGCACAGGCTTTGTGGATTCTTGTATTTAATGCCTTTGATCTTGCATTAAATGTTTACTTGCTGAATCTGCGTAATCTGCATTCTACGAGGTCTTTTGTACCATTTGATTGCTTTTATATCTGGCATTAGGATATCTCCGTAATTTCCATTTTGATGACTTCATATGTTCTTCTGAGAGTGTGGATGCTAGGTAGTTTGTCGTATTGTGTTCTTCAGACACAGTCCAACATTCCTGATCTTCGTCTGTGTGTTTGAGTCTCCGTCTAGTTGGTTGTTGTAAGTACTTGACTCCGTCTAAGGTGCTCTTGTTAGGATTTGCCCATCGTCTAGGGTCTTGTATCATCTGAGTCTGCATCTGATGTATTCCCTTTGTTTTCTCAACCTTTATCCAATGCTTGCCTCACATCTCCTTGATTCTGGTATGGATGTATATTTTCTATTCAGCAGTTTACCTGTACTTGTATTTGAAACACTAACACACTTGTTAGTAATAACAATATGTATTATATTTGTCTCATTCAAAACCTTGCTGGGAATTGCTTTTGTCTTCGTCTGACTTAACAAAAAGGCCACTAGGACGACAAAAGTCATCCTCGAGGGCCTAATGAATCAAAAAAATGAACCAGGACAACACTAAGAGGCCTATAAGACTCAAAACTATGCTTTAGAGCTTGGAATGGCTATTTCCACACTCGGAATGACGGTTCCCAATTGAAAATTTGGCCTGTAACCCTAATTTGGAATAGCATGTTCCTAAAGCCCATTTTAGTTCAATTTTAAGGGCTAGAACGATCGTTCTAGGCTTAGGAACGACCGGTCCACGCCTTTGGGTTCCTATAGAAGCGTGCCCAATGCTCAGTCTCCCACACACTACTAAGTTGACAAATTTTTGATAGAAACACTCCCTTCTCTTCCTTTATACTTTCTTGAGTGTTTGTGAGGTCTTTGTAGAATGAAATGCTGCCAAAACACACCTTTGTACCAAGATTTGAGATTTATTCTATAAAGTTTGCTTTGGATGTATTTTTATCAAGTCTCTCCCTCTCTTCTTACTTATTTAATTGCTTTGTTCATAGTATTATTGTCATGAAATAACTAGCAATCATGTAGAAATTAAGTATATAAATGAGTAATAAAAAAAGGATAAACATTCAATTATTGTTTGTTATTATGCTAAAATCGTCATTGGGTACCAGTCTAGGATGTTGTGGGGTGCCTAATACATTCCTCACACGTAATCGGCCCCAAACTTAATTCTGACTTTGAAGACCATTATTACTTTTCGAAAACCTTTTTCCTTTTTTCGATGTTTTGAGCAAAATGCTGGTGGCGACTCCTTCAAACTCTTTTCAAAAAACCATTGGTGAAGGTTTAGTTTGATCTTCGAGCATCCTTAAACCAATGAGATTTTCAAAACGAAGTCAAATCCAATTGTGGGCAAGATCAAAAGTTTTCAAGTTTCGACAGATGATGACTTTACTAAGAAGCTTAAAGAGGGTCAGACCCTTTAAATGATGAATTTAACATAATAAAAATAATAATTAAATTTTTACCTCTTTTACCTTATTTGTAAATATATGTTTTCTCTTTAGTATGACTTTAATAGCTTGCTTGCTTAAATTCTCGCACTTGGTTGAAATAAAACTATACACAAACCTTTGCATACTACAAGTTCCCTCTATACCCGGGGGCAAGTGAGATAACTAGAGGGAGTTGTTGATGTATGGTCAATTGAAGTGATAGCCTTGAGCCCGTAGGTCGTTGGAAATTATAATCAAGGTGATAACCAATTATTCTAACTCAAATACTTTGGACAAACCCTAGAGTCTGGTAGTTGACAGCGATAGAGATATTGGGTCCTTACAATGGGGCACCTTGGGAGCCTTTTAAAGACCAGTGAGAATAATTAGAACCACCTTATACCATGCACTTTTCTTGACAGGGACCTCAACCCATGGATTTAAATATGACTTTTTGTGGTAGTACGTTGTTTGAGCATGTGTTTGTTGCATTTGTTTGTTTACTTTGTTTGTTTCCATAGAAGTGGATTATAATTTTAAACAAGCGAATAGACAATAATAAATAAAAATAAAAGAAATTAATACCCTCTTGTATATCCTTAGGTCATCACTTTAATATCATCATCTAAGTAGTTTCTTTTTCCTAAAGAATGATGAATGAAGAAAAATCTCCTTTACATGCATTATCTCCCCATAGAAAATCAAAACATGATAAGGCTTAGGCAGAAAAATATGCATCCTTCTTAGGATAGTACATTAGTTCTCATTCATTTTTATCACTAGATATGGAAGGTATAGATAAGAGCATGCATGGGCCATTGTGAAAGGTGAACATTCTAAATTGTGCCATACCAAGAGTTAATAGCTTGTGTGTCTTAATACCTAAGGAAATCTGATTGGATTTTGAGAAATGCTATGGAAGGATTCACGATTTGCTAAGAATAAAAGTTGACCATGCCTTTATGAGAGCCTTGGTACATTTCTGGAAGCCAGAACTTCGCTGTTTTGAGCTCCCACATCTCAATAAAGTACCCACTATAGAGGAATACAACTTGATGGTCAAATGGCCCAAGTTAGAAGGAGCCTACACTATTAGAGAACAACACATTTCCACAAAGAGAGTGGCCGAGCTAATCAGGTTGCCCCCTCATCTATCCGCCTTAGAAGGTAGTGGGGTAATCAAAGGATGGAAGCTTTCCACACTGGAGGGCCGCACCTTTTGTAACGACCCACCCTAGGCCGTCACATCCAGAACCAACCAAAGATAAATAATATATTAAAGAAAATAGAACAAGGGCCAGCTACGCTAGAGTGTAAATATACAATAACATATAAAATTGTTTCCAAAATATATAACATATTTTTATAATAAAGTCATTATCCTCAGTAAGGTTATACAGTAATCCAAAAAGATAATATAATTACAACGTCAAGAAGACATCAAATTAAGACACCCTAGGTGCTGGTCAAGCTCTAAACCTAGCCACTTCTCAAAGCAGCTATCCAAAAGACTCCTTGCTATCCCAAAGCCTCATACCTGATCTGCTCCCCCACATAATGAGATCATCACAGTCCATCATGGAAATATAAGGGTTAGCACATATAAAACCAACCATAGTATATCATAATAAATATCATTAAACAGATATTTGTCCACAGTATTTATCCAGACAAACAAGTCATTTCCAAGCTAAATATAGACCAATCCAAAATATAATGTATACACATCCATGCCAATGTATACGTATTTTATGATAATAAGAAAATCCATAACCAATGTATACAATCCATACCATATGTATACATATTCCACATCCAAAACAAAGTCACACCACTGTATAATCCATGATGTAACCAACACATCCAAACCAAATGTTGGCCTCAACACCATCCAAACCAAGTGTTGATACGGTGAAACATGTCA